CAAACCATAGATTTTTCAACACTATCCTCCCCCACGAAATAATGTTGGATCTTTATATCGCCAAGTTATGAATAATGTGGCTTCGTTTAAAACATATTTCTCACATCGATTGGAGTATACATTGGAAGTCAATTTGTGATAAGGATTAACAGCAAATGATGTGAAATAATCTGAATTGTAATCAGAATGGAGCTCATTTAATACTCGTGCTTCGCATTGAACAAGCTCCCCACAAGAAACAAATGAATTATGGGGACAAATAATATTTGGTATGACATCAAGACTTGACTCTTCTGGAATAGTTTCCTCGAATTCATTAAGAATGTCATTGCAGATTAAAGGATCATTAGAAAAATCAGCATCTATCAAAAATACATCAGATTTTCAATCTTAATTATGTTCACTAAATATATTTTCTTCAGATTTGTAAGAAATTCCATCAGAAATATATGAATCATTAGGAAAAGCCATATTTGGTACGATAACATGAGAAATCTGATAAACCGATTGGTTTGAAACTGTTGTTTCACAAGAATTCTGAATTTCATTTAACTCTGAACTACTTTGTGACTCTACATTGTCTATTGCAATCGCTGATAAAGATAAATCATCATTATAAATACTCGACTCAGTAGAATCAGAATTACAAGTCTTAATATTAGTTGCAGTAGGATGAACATTAGTACCACAGACTGACTAAATATGTCTAATATCACCACATTTAAAGCACTTAGAATTACGAAATTTACATGAATTGAAAGAGTGGAACTTGCCACAGGACAAACACTGACTAAACTTGTGCCCATCTTCGCGAAATGCATTGCAACTCCTCAATGAATTGTCTGCATAATCTTGAGTATGCACTAGGTTGGGATGACGTAATGTAGTGAAATTTTTTATATCCTTACGGATCATTTTACGAAATCTTCCTCCTTTACGACATTCGAAATTTGTATACTGAACATAGTCTAGCAGCAGTTCCTTGATAGCTGTATTAGGAAGCGAAATAGGCTTTTCCGGCATAGCCAGAGTTCTTAATAAGCTGTATGCTTCTTTTCCAATGAATGTGAAGAAGTGTGCCACAATATTAACATCCTCATCATCTTCCTTGGTCATAGCCCAGATTTTGAACCTTTCACAGTAATCTTTAAAAGCTTCAGAAGTTGAATGAATATCTAACTTTTCCATTACAGGCTCCATCGCGACGCCAGTATAATGTTTTGAATTATTTGAATTATAGTACGAACTGAGAGTCCCGGAAATAACACAACTGAACTAAGAAGTGAGACACAAGCACAAGTACAAAGGTATCATTAGTTCATTCAAACACCGCAGAATTATAACTTAATACTTGTAGATACGCGAAGTTCGCTGTTTTAGGCAAGGATTAAAATGGAATGTTAGATAACTGTCAAGTTTTAAATGCTGGCAGTACTTTCTTCAGTTAGTAAAGTATTACTGAAATGAATAACGTTTCTGACAATTATCCATTACTGTTTGTACAGTTTCATATTCAAGAGGTATTTCAATCAACGCAAGTGAGGCGTTTCAACGTATAACGCTGAACAGACCTGAGTTCAATTCCATAGTGTGCTAAATGAGTTCCAATTAGCAGGAATGAGTAATTTCATACCCTCTCAGACTACCGATGCTCATTACATTCATGTCGAATTAAATCACTGAATGACATGACATTTAGATACATGTATATGGTGTTTCAGTAAATATTTGGTTGTTAGCGTAAACCGAAATGTTTTAGTGCCTTAAATGTGGTTGGCTACCTATATTTTCAATTGTAGTCATTTAAAGCATTGAACGATGCCTTACCACAGTTCATAATTTGTAACCGCCTGATAAGCTTGTGAAATGGTACTTATAGAAATAGCGTTTTGAACAGGATGTGAAACACATAGCATCGCGTGAGGTATGATATATATCTAAAAAATAAGCCGAAACGAGTCTAACATCACAAAAGTAGTCAGGGTGGATTTACTGATTAGCAAGCATTGATGGTAAGGGCGATGACTTCAATCCATCCATCTTTGTCAGGTGAAACATTTTGTTTGTATCAGACTCTTCATGATCGAGAACAAGTCTATCAACATGTGATACACTCACCATTCACATTCATGTTTCCAATATTATTCTGGATTAGCTATTCTATTAAGACAACCTATAACATGCCAACTCGGAATTTTACACTGGGATTGTGTGGCTGACATCGGGTGGACCAAAAAAAGAAATAAAAAATCAGATAACAAAAGATATAATTATTAGTATTCTTAACACTTCACACTCTATATAACACCCTCCTAATAAACCGCTTCCCTTGTACCAACCTTGACTTCCCTTCCTTCGTGCGAGCTTACTCCAACTTGTTAAACATCAGAACTCATTGTTCTTTATTACTACATTCTGTTATATGGAACCTCTGACTTCATTTCACTCTAACTAGAGAGAGTATGAATTTAATCTAACTTATTATACCTCTCTCTGTTCTACTACAAAATGTTAAGCAACGTTTAGCGTTCATATCCAAGTGCCTTGCTGCTCTTCTGTTTCTCTTTTTACTTCAGAATCTTGCTCTGAGGGCACGGATGTGGAACTTCTGACTTCTGGAACAGACTTAACGTGCGCGTCTCCTCAAGGTCATTGTTTATAGCAAGTGCACTACGAGTCCACTTTATAACAACTATAAACTTAATAAGTTGGAAAGCATGCTGTGAGCCAACAAATGTTGTGATTTGTAGATCATCCCTGTAAAAATAGCGTGTACCTTCACATACAGAAATATATTATTATTATATTCAGGAAAGATCTCGCACACATCGCTCGATAATCAGCGAACTCATTTTGTCGTAGTTGTTTCACTTAGTTGACCTGATGAAAATCAAATGAAGTTACAGCCTTAGGGTCACTGCTCGTACCACACAGTAGTAATTATGTTTTCAAATAATGAACTAAACAGTTATAGTAATGTTTTCGTGTTAAAACCGAATCGATTCTGCGCTCCGCTGATAATGTAGAGGATAGTCGAACAATAAGTTCATAAAACGTGATCACTGATTTTCCCGACCATTCATGTGGCTTTGCTCGTGTGATTAAATGAAGTAAAAATCAAGAAGGGTATATATTAGTTTACAGTTAACTTCGTGATTCACCAACATGCAGGTTTGAGCCGTGTGTTATGTTCTGTAGAGGGCTGAGCTTAAAGATGTCATAGATATTCAGAGTTTGACAACACTTTACGCTCAACACCTTTATGATCGAAAGACACCAGTCCAGCCAAATCTGAAGTCAGAAGTGAAGGGATCAGAAGACATATTTTGGAAGTCATAGATGTCGAGAAAAGTTTGATCGAAGCTATCTAGTGGTTGCAAAAGATGCATAGCATGGCGTACTCACTTGTGATCAAGTGAAATGCGTGATCGAGCGCCTTCAGCAATGGTATGTCCAGTCAAACCAATGACACCAGCACAAATGTTAAAGACTTACAGGACTATTTACTTCGGAGCTAGGCGCGGTTGGTGTAGTCCCTCGTCTTGACATGCGTGTGATCCTCAATTTTGTCCCTAAAGTCCGGCGCAGTAGAAAAAGTGTTGAATTTTGAGAACCTTAGTTTCAAAAGCATTATAATCATTCATCTAATCTGAGAAAAGGTTTCCAAGTGTGGTAAATTAGTTTATTTACGGAAAGTGCCTTGGTATGACAGAGTCATACGTTGCTTGTATCAAATTGGAACGTATTTCAAGTAGTGCTATGTTTGAAGCGATTAGGAGTCCACCTAGTCTGCGAACGGAACAAGACTCTGTGACCAAAGACCAATAAGCTAGTTATTCTGATGCGTCCCAGCCCCGCTCAAGTTCGAAACGAGGAAATACACTCTACAAGTAGCCGGAAGCACGAGCAGTCATGACCCATCTAGTCGGAAATATACTCATTTGTATATTAGTTTGTAGACCCATTTTTGATTATTAATCAGAATAAATCAGGTATTGTGGTGGACCAAAAAATATATCAACTCAAAAATAGTAATAAAGTTATTACGTACAAACTGTTACGTCATGATATATCAGTTATAAGTTATCAACACAATTAAAAATTTAGAGACGTCACTTAGATCAGCAAAGTTGGGCGTATTCGGGTTGTATTTGGTACCGGAATCTACAATTATAGATAATTAATAATTCCAATGGCATTGTTATTTTTCCAGCAATATATCCAAACGTAGAATATAATGTAAATGTGGCTGAATTCTAAAAATGTAGATAGTAGATGATTTAGAGTTCAGTACAGACTATAAAAGTCAACAAAATAAATGCAAACAATATCAAGAACTATTTACAAAATAAGTTTATCATGCCTATCTCCAAAATTTATGAAAAATAATTTATACAAGAATATTGTATGTTGTACAGAAAAAAGTCTCATTAGGGAAAACGAACCGAATACTATACTGAGTGACCATCGATTTGAATTAAACGGAATTACGTTTGAGTTAAAATCATAATGAGTAGTTTTGACTTTTCATCCCGTCTTAAAAAGTGGTGAACCAGGGAGATGCATAAGTGTGAAGACAGCGGAAACTGACGTAATAGCATACACTTTGAGACTTAGAGGTAGATGAACGTAAGGTCGCAATCCATCTGGAACAGGAGAAGCTTTTCACGTAGGTTCAGATGTGGCATGGACAATAAACCAGACTGAATTAGTCTAAATGATGCCGTAAAAACCAACATGATCGGTAACACTTTTACATGGGTAAGACGCTCTTTTCAGAAGGTTATCTAACACTTTTTCATATGAACTAACTTTTGCAGTGGATAATCTAAGGTAGATTTATTTTATTGATTGGTCAGTAGTTTTAAATTCCTATCAACCAAGGTGATCTCACAGCTTTTATATAATAAATCCTAATAAAACTTAAGACTACTTGCTTAAGAGGGGGTGTAAATCAGAACAACTTTTGTTACCCTTGAAAATTTGTGACAACCTACATTGTACAATAGAGAGCCTAGTTTAACATTGGTGTTACTTAACTCACGCGCTATGAGCGTAGCTGTTTTTATCGATGGCACTGATGCGAAACAAGTAATATTCCGGCATGAAGTTAATAAAAATAGGTTACTGAGTTAAAAAGATTTCTTAAGAGTTATGGGGCCAAAGTGCTTGATAACTCTGAGTGTACAGATGCTAACTGGCCAGACGAGCTGATTAAATGCCTTAAATACATCGACATCTGTTGGAAAGACGAAACTATTGCTGAAGCTGGTAAAATATATTTTGATAATTTGAAAAATCAGATGTCAATGATGTTTTAGCAAGTGTTGCCTCTATTTTTATCCAACTTCCACCTGATAAATTAATTGATGCGGTTCATCTTTTTTGCGAAAAGTTACGTGATTTTTCTGGTGATAACACACGAAGACATAGGAGCAAACTTTTCCCGTGGGATTGAAGTTTTTTGATCTTATGTTTAGACTGAACCTTTTGTTTTGTGGACTTAATCCCAAAAGTCATCCCCGTTATGAAATATATCTTACTCTAATTGAATGTGCCGAAAAAATGGGCGTTCTAAATGAAGTGATAACCGCACCAAAAAAAGTTGGTTTAGCTTTTCATATTTCGTAGTTTTAGGTTGCTTATTGGCTAAGTGAATGTGATTGCACAGTTGAGGAATGCCAGAAAGTATGGCAGAAGCTGTATGATGCACATACTTCACTGGGTGAAAGTCGAAAAGCTATTGAAGCCATGATATATCTCCTCTCAACCTACAATGAACTAACTGCTATGAATGCCAGGCAAAATGCAATAAAGTAGTATATTTCATACCATACATTCTTTCTTAGATGCATCATATCTGTGTTGCAAGATCCATCTTTATTATCTCATGATCAATTGTACGCTCTTAAACCAGTTCAATATCTGGAAGGTGAACCTGTTCATGATGTGAGTTGTAATTCGACTATAACCTTTTCAGTTCTTTAAGATATTTGTCTCTGGAGATCTGAATACATTCAGAAACTTCCTAACTAAACATCCAAACTTTTTAAGTCAGAATAATCTATCTGAAGAAGCTTGTATTCACAAACTCCGACTTCTGACGTTAATGCAGTTGTCTGAGAATGTGAATGAACTTAGTTATCAAGATGCAGCTGCTCAGTTGAATCTCAAGATTGAAGAGCTGGAGCCATTTATAATAGAAGGTAAAATTTTAGATGTGGTTTGGTAGTTATCTGTCCTTGCAAATATTTCATCTCAGGTGTGTCCGGTGTGTAAGTTTATTTCACGCTGTCTGTAGCTTGCTTCAAGCTTAATGTCATCTAAAGTGAGATTTCAAGGGCTTAACTGGAAAAGCTTTAGTTCCACATGATAGTATAACCCAGGCATTGTATTTAGGAATTCCTTATACCATTTGACTATAATGGTAAACTTTATGTAGATTTGGACCGTGGCTACTTGTTAACTAACTCAACTTTATCTTGTTATCACGTGACAATTTGTTCAAAGATTGTTTTCAAGATCATAGCGCTTTAAGAGTTATAGAAATTATACCACAAGGTTGGGATCCGGGAGTAAGTTATCTCAATATTATCCCATCATCTGTCCTTTCTTCCATTTTGATATACACCGAAAACGAGTTCATATCTCAGAGATTGTCTCATCAATGTAGTGCCTCAATAAATCTTAACGATGGCCTTATTAAGCTAGAAACTAAAATATACTTGGTTTCTTGGAAAGAGAGGCTGTTTTTATTATGCTTGATCTGAATTAATGGTTTGGGAATAGATGAAATGTCGTAGCACTAATATGGTGAGTGACGTTTTTGTCGACTTGCTCCCCTAGAACACCTAATGAGATAATGTTTACTCTGGTCCACCTAGTCAAAAATTACAGGTATACGACCACACATGTTTTAAAACATCACTTTAGCGCTCTAGGAACTAGACTTAAAATCCTCATCAGTTATGATTGCAGATGTTTAGTAATGAGCATCCATTGATCGTACCAGTGTAAAGTTGTTGGAAAGCTTAATTAAAGGTAAAACGGAAGCAGGCAAATGTTTATTAAAAAAGTGAGCGGATTGAGGCAAATATATATCGAGCGACTTGTATATTGGTTTGTTTCTGCTTCAGGTCAGATATGTCATCTCTGTTTTCCAGCATAGGTTTTTTGCTCTGACATTAACTTCAAGCTCCTTGCTTGTTCAAGTCCTTAGTGTGTCATAACGAAACATACTGAATGTTTGGTATTTTTAACCATGACATATTCACCATTTCCTCTGTTGATTTTGTATTTTTATGCTATTTTGGTATGGCAACTTGGGCTAACTTACATTTGCTCCAGGTTCTACGTTGATTATAGCTCACCAACTGACGTCACAGCTGTAAGAAAAATGAAATCACTAGGAGAATTAGAAAATCGCTGAAAACACTAATATTTGCAGCAGGAAGACTGACCAAATTATTTTAGGAATCAAAGTAAATGAAATAAAATCGAACAGTAAGATATCGTTTATCATAAAGTTAAGAACTTAGAGAAATACGTGGGATGAATTCACCTGTGCAAATGTCGTATCATCTGATCTTTAATCATAGATTCGGTTTATTTTATGAGCATCACCAAACCACAAATCTAAAACTAACAGTCAAAAATTTCATGGGGTGTTTCTATGTTATGTTTTCACCGCTTGTAACCATTTGCTAACTATATTCTATACTATCCAGCTTAACAGAATAAGACAGATGCTGCTTAAACCTAAGTATCACATATCTCAACTGCTACTATCATACGAACTAATTTACTGTTTGTACGTAGTAGTTTACGTCCTATATCAGGGTTACTTGCCATGTTTCATCACGTTATACTAGTGTTTCGAGGGTATCTGTAATTGAAAACTTATGAATAACACATGCCTTTAATGTTCAGTAGCGACCTTTCAAGTGCTTTAAGCAATATCGAGTGATATTTTGTGTTATTTGCCTTCTATCTTTGTAGACAAATAAATATTTCGTTTGCTATTTAAATGTATATTGACGGAATTCCGGTTTCATTTTTATGTGTTCCAAAATCTCATCAGCTCTTCAACCAAATACGGCTGGTGAAACCAACAAATCTTGGAACCAACTTTGATATTATTATCAAATATTTTAGTTTTCTAGTGCTTTTTTCAAGTTTAGGGCAACTACACTTTTAATAGGAGTCAGTTCAGTCGACATTGTAGAGGTATCCCGCTTTGCATCTCATGTAACATTTGTTGAATATACCTACTCGTTATTCTCTTGAACATAATGGTGAAAAATTGTTCTATATTTTTAAAATATCGTTCATAACTGCGCATATTTTCATATCATTGATTGCAGTAGTAAGGTAACTCCTTCAGATAACCAGAAGTTCCGCTAATATTGCTTTCTGGCAACTGATGGAGGTAACTAAATAAGGTTGGTTGCGAAAATAGCACACATCTTGCCCTCCGGACTCCCGGCACTGGCATTAAGGCTTTAGGAGTACGGAGCTAACATATCTAAAACTGAGCACCAAAAGGGCTTATGTGACTGATCTAAAGGATTTTTCCATTGAAGTCTGTAACTATGGTCTCAGATCATCAAAACCACTGCTAATCCAGTTTCATTTTCACGTATCTCACGAATATGTATTTTACTGTGTGAGTAACCAGGGAGTAACGACCACCCACACCTCTTACAGCGATCAAGATGACCTTGTTGATGACTGCAGTCTAAACAACTTGAATATAATTCTGCCATTGACATGTTTATAGTATATTTAGGAATTCCAGTGTAATCGCGTACCGAAATTCTTTCGCCAATTATCATATATTACATTTGAGTTAAACCCAATACATCTTAACTCAACATTCCTGATGATCTAATTTTTTTGTGAACTTTTTTGGTAATAACACTTTACGTTCATTTTAGCTGTGCGCCAGAGAGCTGTTGCATGTAAATTAGATCAAGTTCAAAAGAAAATCCTAATCACCGGAGCGTTTCCACGTACATTTGGTCGACCTCAATGGGTTAACTTACATGATACATTGGTGCAATGGCGATCTCATCTTGGTACTGTACAATCTAGTTTAAGTATGATGATTCAAAATGAATCTTCTTAAATAATTATACCTAACCCAGTAGAAAAAGAGAGTTTTTGTGCCTTGGTTTTTGGTTTTTCTTATCACTTTCGTTCATGGGGATATTTTTAATTGTTGTTATGAAATCGTATTTTATTTAAAATGAGATAACCACTGTTATATATTTAATAGCTTTAGTGATTATGCTCATTCGTTCTTCAGCAATGATGTTTTCAGTTGTTGTAATGGTAGCGAACTCTTATCATGCAGTTTAATTAGTTTAAAAAAGTAAAAAGACAATATATAAATGGAATAATTTTAAGTTTATTGCGTTGCTGGAGTGTGTTTTCTAGACAGCGTATCTACCAGAAACTAGTGGTTTTATCACAGTGCTCAATCATATTTAGTCTCCAAGTTATTTGTATTGTATCTAATACAAATTATTTTGATCTTCATGCGATTATATCAAATAGAAAATACAGTCTTATGCATAGCATATCAATCAGTAACTGGCTCGACAATTAGGTTTGGCTTTATGGTCTAGAAATTCGACGAAAGATACCTAGTTTTCTGGTATCTTTGAAACACTTGTCACATATAATTAAACGAAAAAATTAGTAATGCCGATGTTAAACGTAGGGTACTAGGTAAGGGTGGAAAGTCGTTTGGTGAGTTAGTAAATATTCATCGACCAAGACATTTGGGATATATGTTAAGTATGCACAACTACCGTCTACTTCGACGTTTGTCGCCGGCTGGTATCGTCGAATGCAATAGAATTTAACTGAAAACTATATAACTGGTAGGAGCGTGGCCTCTGCTTCGGGTTGGGCACTCGGGCAGCATTCCACCTCCCACACAAATCAAATGGTGGTGTGGCGCATATATATTTGGTGCCTCCTTGTACCACTGTTTGTGTTCAATAAATAAATAAATGTACATCGATTATTATGACAGATCTTTAAACTATATGCATTAAAGTCAGAAGATAGACAATCAACTGGAGATCGATATGTATAAACCAGAAGTGCAGTGTGAGTAATGTTTATTTATTATTTGAACACAAATATTGGTACAAAGGGGTACCAGATACATATGCGCCACACAATAAGAATGAGAAGAGATAGAGAATGTAAAGTGCGTTTAAGAAGAAGGAGACCAACAAAGAACAGAAATTAGTGTCTAATAGTGAGATAATAATTGGAGAGGAAGTTCAGTTAGCAAAGATACAACCAGAAAATATTCTTCTACTTAAAAAAGTTACGTCCATCTTTTATGAAGCAAGTTACAGCAGGATCATCACTGGCTTCTATTCTGAGCCATATCTAATGACGTCTCTAGCCACTGTGTTGCACCATCTCTAAGACCCCAACCAGGGAGTCGTGAAAGATCAGCAGAAGCCAGTCATGTACGTCTTCCATACCATGACACCATGTCACACACTAATCACCTCACCGTTTATTCTAACCCTTCCTAGCGTCGGTATATAGTGCACGACATGGGATTCTCTGGGACGACATTCGTAGAACATGTCCAAGCCACCGAAGTCGATGCTTCAAGATAGTAACACCAATTGAATTATCGTCTTTGTGCCCCAACACACGATGCCGAACCTCTGCATTACTAACATTGTGTTGCCACTGGATGTCAGCAATCCTCCGGAGACACTATGTGAGTTGATCTCATCACTCACGCCACCACCAGCACTTATGCAGCTACCTAGATACACGAACTTCTCGACTACGTCTATCTGCTCACTACCCAGGGTGAGTGCAAGACCAGGGTCCGGCGTCTTTTTAAAGTACTTTGCAACTCGAAGGTGCAAAGTACATACTGTACCTACGAACACTAATTGCCAGCTGATTAAGTGCGGATTGCATGGTTTTGGCATTGTCGCACAGTAAGACAATATCACCTGCATACTCAAGGTTGAGAAGTCTTTCTCCAGGCAACAGATCCATACCGCTACTACTTACGTCTATCAGAGCTGTTTTCAGAATGTCATCGGTGGCAAAGTTGAAGAGGAATGGTGAGATTGGGCAACCCTGTCTAACCCCATTGCTCGAATGAAACAATGGAGAGAGGTGGTTGTATGCCCTCACTCTGCCTGAGGTGTTTGTATATACAGCTTTTAGGATGTTAGTAAAACTTCTCAGACACACCGCTCTTCAATAGACAATCCCAGAGAACAGTCCTGTCCAACGGATCGAAGGTAGCCCTGATGTCAAGAAACACTACGATTGTTGGCCTTTGATAAGTATGGCGGTGTTCTAACATTTGGCGGGGAGTGAAGATATGATAAATACATCTTCGACCAGAACGAAAACCAGCCAGCTCCTCGTGAGTCAATCTTTCTCGGGTTTTGAACAATCTACGAAGTATGACGGAAGCCAATAGTTTGGAAGCAATCGGAAGTAGACTTATCCCTCGGTAGTTGATACAGAAACGGCGTGAACCCTTTTTAAAGATAGGGACAACTATCGACTCATTCCACGATGTTAGAACACTCTAACTCCCAATCTTTTGAAACAACGCATTTAGTTCCTTGACTAGAAAGTCGTTGCCATCTTTAAGAAGGGCTGGAGGTAAGTTATCTGGGCCAGGTGATTTGTAGCGCCTAAAGAACTGGAGTTCCTTGCGAACTTCCACCTCATTTAGTGGATCAGTCGTCACAGGCCATGGAGAGCAGGACAGTCTGATCGATGTTGCCGGGGCGGCAGAACAGTTGAACTGCTTCTCGAAAGACTGCTCATCGTCCAAGACGTCAAAAGATTTTAGTGATTGGCATCCCGTCATCTTGACAGATTGTTTCGCTCACATCAAACTTCTTGCTGCCAGTGGCTTGGATGAGTTGGAAGAAATTCCAGTAGTTACCAGATGCAGCTGCTGCTTCCAGCTCATTAGCACGCTCCTACCACCAGGCTTCTCGGTCCTTACACAAGCTTTGCCCAGTTTTTTTCGGTGGGATGTTAGCTAGCCTTGAACCTATCCCGGTTTGATATTCATTTGCAACAGAAACTGCAACCAATTTGCTGACATCGATCCTTTTAGGACGATGAATTTGTTGGCCACTGTAAAGCAAGTTAAGATTAGATAAACAAGGACATGATCAGAGTCCAAAAGGAGCGACAGCCTTGTACACAGCCACTCCAGCGTTAGCTGATCGCGATGTGATCAGTCTGTGTCCAGGTTTGAGATGCTGAAGGAGGACGCCAGGTGGCACATCGGAGATGACTGTGCCACTAGTTAGTGCTGGCCAGAAACAGGTTGTGGTCTGCGCACAGTTGCAGTAGACAGTCCTTGTTATCTGACCTGCGACCGACAAGTCCCCATCGGCCCACTTCACGAATTTTTTTATTTCCTGCTTAGAAAAACTGCGTCGGCTCTGTGTTTATATATTATGTTTGTAAGTCCGTAATAATTTTCTCTTACAGATCTAGTAGATTCTCTAGTCGTCTCCCTTTTACCTGATAACTTAATGGAATTAGGTCTAGGTGATGCAGTTCTTGACATCCCATAAAATACTGGCTTTTCTAATCAGCTGTAAAATAGACAACCCTGGCTAAATTAACTTAAGATTACCATTTCAGACAAAATTTACTCATAGTCTTTGAGATTATTGATCGAGTCACATCTTATGGGGAATTGTCTCTGGATTGGAAGTCTTCAGTAGTGTCTATCAGGGTTTACTAATATCCCCATTTCGAAATTGCGTAAGGCGTTATCTTTGTCATTTGCAGTAGTCAATATTGTGTAAGATTTTGCGTTATTTTGTCGAAATATTATGGTCTTTTAAATGATTCTCTTTTTTGACATAATTGCAATTGAAATTTATACCTAATATAATAATTTGTTAAGAAGGAAGGGAAAGTGTAAATCAATTTAACAGGATGACCAACGAGTTCTCAAATTTCTTGTTTGTTCGAAGCTGTCTATAGTTAACTCACCGGGAGAGAGTGTACTTCTCTGATACTTGTTTATTCACTCTCTTATAGAAAGAATAGCTGACTGTCAAGGTTACTTCTCACTTCATCATATTGTAATGATCGATAACTCAGATGCGGCACACCAATTTATTTTTAAATGCAAAATCACTCAGTGGCTTAGTACAATTTGAAAATCACACATTTGTCCATCTTTGCGTTGTCTTTTGCGTAATCAATTATTCCTTTAATTTTGTTGTCATTTTGATTACTCTGCGATTTTCTTCCTGTTATCTTCATTTCGATTCTCTGTTGCCAGGCATTACATTTCCGACTGGTGCTACGTACTACTTACGTCTGTCAGCATAAGTAACATACACCACAACGTCATAGTGTAATTCACTTTTTTTAAAAGGTGCATAAAGATATATAAATTGGTTCCAATATAATTATGATGCAGTTCTGTCGAGGAAGTGCTTTATATGTATTTTGTCTAAACATACTTTGCGTGTAATTATTTGAAAGACGGTAAACCTTCCGATGTAGGCTCTGAAGAACGGACTACTTTAAATAAAGTAATGGTGTTGTGTGAAGTTATCAACAGTTAATAAACAAGCTTTCTAATCTTAAAAAATTTAACTAACTATAAATTATCTTCGCCACAAGTCGGAGTTTACACCTAAACGAAATCTGTGCCAACGTTGAGTCGAAACTGAAAGTGCGATGATCGTGCGCAATATCTGAACTAGAATATTTTAGATTACTGATTACAACTTACAGTAGTATACTAAGTGCAAATTGAAATGATCTTGAACAAAGACAATTTCCATAAACCAGTACACTTAATCACAAAACAACAAATTTGTTGTAAGTTGGATTCTTTCTATTGACAGTTTAATAACAAGCGTAGTTTTACAAGCAAAACCAACCGGTTCATATAATTGTGCGTGCATATTAACTTGATTGTACAGATATTTTCTATTCGTCCTTAACTCAATACTCATCTGTTATGTACATGGATTATCCAAAATATGCTAATGTACGATGTCCATCCATATTATAAGCTTTCAAAAACTAGTTTTAAAATCACTGCCCCATTGTTGAATAAGTACTGAAAATAGTATATTAGTTCTCCGCCTGGATAAACGATAATCTTAAAAGGTTTTGCTGATTATCTAGTTCTATTTATAAAAATTATGTTCCATAAGTTGGATCGTTCATGTAGTTCAAAAGTCTTTAGTATTGTACAGATCATAGTTTTATTATTTCATGTGATAAAAAGTATGTCGGGAGATGATTAAAGTTATTTTACTGAATACTATGTTGAAGTTAGACGCCGTATGCTTGTTTTATAATTAAATAAATATACCTTTCGACGCTGGACTAGCTGTATTTCTTGGCTGTAAAGCAGCATTCAGTTTCGTAGATCGTCAGGTTTCATGACAGTATATTATTGAAAGTACATGAATCTTGTAAAGACTCTACTTGAAAATTACCACTCGAGTCAGAGCTTATGATGAACCGTTATAATAAATGATAGCATCACTCATTTGTCGTCATGGTCTTCCATTATATACATTATGTCCATTCTTTTAGAATTAAAGCTTTTGAGAAGTTAATCTCCTACCTGGAAATACACTTAGTGACGCAGATCACACATCTCTGTTAAGTGAAGGCCGGTCTGCATAACGCTGGATCTAATGATAGGAAATGAGTAAGTTGAGCATGTTTACCAAATCACATTGTCATGAAAGACTCCAAATGAGTCAGTGTGTAGGTATTCTTATGTAGTAAACAAATCTCTGTTTTTCGTTTTTTCTTCCAGTTGTTTCATGTTAGTGAATAGTAACTGTTATAGGAAAACATGCACATTTGACACTGTCATCAATTCTCTATATTTTGAAAGATGCTGAGTGTTCAAATGATTTATTTGGTAGTGTACCAAATAATAATTATAGTGAAATAACAAAGATACATTGTGTTATGTTTACGAAATAGTTATTATTTAGTGAAATAACTTAAGTGTTGATTATGACATACTTCAATAAAACTCTGAGCATGAACAGATAGGATATTATTCATTTGAAACAATCAATTTAACATCTTGTTGATGTCAATGTCATTTGGAGATTCTCATTGATATGATGAAATGTGACAGGTGTATGTGAATAGCTGACATCATTATGAAGCTAATACCAACCATGATAAACTGATATCATTATTTCATAGAAAATGTAAAATATTGATAATTCAGTGACTATTTTTTTGGATTATTCCTTCGTAATTTTTGTAACCACCTGGAGCCCCTCTGAAGCTACTGCCGGTCCTATGCCCGAATAAATAAGGAGGTTTGGGCATGGGATTAGCGACCCCATCCCCTAGAAAATTAACTCACTAAAAAAACCGCTAACCAGAAATTTTGTAACGAATATGAAACTTTAGAAACAATTACACTTAAAGCTCACATCAGTCTATCATGTGAAAAGGAGAATAAGCGATTCTCTTTTGCCAGACATAACTATAAGTAGAAGAGAAGATTGTTCAATTAGACGATTTATTTTTAGAAATCTACCTTTGACAGACCATTATCTTAGTCATCATAATCATTGTGTTGTGAATGAACACCCAGGTGGGGACAATCAAATTACTAGTTATCACAGAAATTACAGGACATTTTAATAAAATATAAGAACCATACGCTGAACACTTCATTTGCAAATTTCCATAATTTGTCCTTCACATTTTGCGTGGTTCAAGTTCACAAACCCTTTCTATTTTCCCTTTTATTCTCTTCAACTCGATCTTCTTAGCCTTCTGCTGCCAGGTTTTCACTTCCGATCGGTGGTACATACAGCTTAATGTTGTCTACATTAGTGGCATACATCATAGTTGGGTCAGTTTATTACAAGCGAAATTTGACAAGGGACCTGTTTAATAGGATTGATCATATCTGTACAAACTATACTACTGAAGACAAAGTGTGGTCACTGAACAAAAAATTGGTGAAGAGTTATAAAATTTCTAAATCAATGGAAGGGTCACGTTGTGGTGAGATTTAGTACACTTTTAGTATCGAAAAAGCATGCCTTCATCACCCTATTATTCAAGTGTGAGTGAAATTGTCTTGTGTATAAACGATGATTCATATCAGGTGTTACTATAACGTACTATACAGCTAATGTGATTAATAATGAAGAAACAATCCTCATGCTTTGCCGAAAACGCCCGAAGTCCTTCTGGGACTACTGCCGGCCCCGAGCACAGATAAAGGAGGAGGGTTGGGCATGAAGTTTTCTGTAAACCTTTAGTTGAAATACAATGTTTCCATCGTTATTCTATCTTAAAAAATAAAGACCTGTGATCAGAAATATCTATGTTGCAAAGAAAAGGTCTCGTAATAATCTTGTAGAACTGAAGAATTTTCAAATTAAATATACAATATAAATACATGCTATTTCCAACAGTCATAATATTCCTATAACTAAAATAAAAATAATCCAGAAAATCTTCCTGTGAAAAAGGGTGAGTTAGTATTGTAGTGAACGTGAACGCAAGTGACGACAACCAAACGTCTTGCAACACAGAATTACAGAATCCCTTAATAAAATTTGAGAACCATACAGAAAATCTTTCATTTGATAAGATATCTATGAAACGTATCAAATTTGACTGGCTCAACTTTCGTTTTTTTCTCTTCAATTTTGCCAACTTTCTGCCACCAGGCATTCCACTTTCGATTGATGGTATGTACTACTTATATCTGTCGACATCAGTAGCACACACCACAATGTAATCACGATATTCTATTGAAAATGATTTATATTTTGTGTCAAGAAAAGTCAGATGCCTGTGATTTGGTCGAAAAAAATCGTCTTATTTATTGAAATTGCAGTACCTGTTTGTTAAAAATAGTGATGCATGCTAAATATAAATTCACTTGTAAAGTAAGGTGTCAGCCATTAGTTCTAATACCTTTAAAAGGAAAGTTGTTTTATGATCAATCATTCATCTGTGTTGGTATTCAGATAGTCGTCTCTCATGGATAAGGATAGACTGATGTAAAGTGACTTAATTCAGAAGTATGGATCCGTGAGTTCAATTGAAAAACTAACGATTCTGCTGTCAATCTGTAACAGTCATGAGTGAAATCTGCTGAATTATTACAAACAGTGAATAACTATCTGAATGTTTCTCCTTGATTTTAAATAATTGGTTGATTTAGTTTAACATCAATGTTCAAGTTAAACAATCTTAATAAACCTATAATTCTAGTTACGTGGTTACAGCACATCTGTTTCTACGTCTAATACTGAACATCACATATGGTCGCTGCATTCATAATTAATAATTATCCCCCAAGCACCTCCACGTTGTGTCTCCTCATTGCTGTAGCAACTCGGAAGACTCTCCCGGTCTCCCACATTGTACGAGCATTCTATGTACCTAAATAAACGGTTTCGCTGGTTGTCAGAATGGGCACCAGCCTCGTGGTGTTGTGACTTTATGTCCGGCTTTTCATCACGTGACCTAACCACCAATCAAAATACGACTTATACAATCTTAGCACTGTGCCAAACCAATGACGTTCGACCGGTATGGGCAGCCCAGCGTCATTATTGGTTCTATGTCCCCCTAGCACGTCCACTTGAGTCCAGAACACCGATACCAGCTTCCACTATGCGAATCGAATCATTTATTTCAGATATACTGGGTTTATATATCAACCAAACAGACCGCAACGCACCAAAAAAATAGGAAATAACATTTGTACACAATAAAGCCAAAAAGTGACTGTGAACGTGGGAGGCAGTAGTCAATAAATTAAACATAGCTTAAGAACTGTAAACCGTACAATAATAAATTATAGGTTAAAATAAAGCTTATAATAAGAGGAATATAAATATACATAATCTAATTATTGAATAATTATACCATAAGAATGTATAGATAATATTAGTCAATTAATATGTCTCAGAAGTTACTCGTGATTTAATCTTCGCTGGAATATAACACGTGGTTTCCGAAGGAACTCGGCTTCCACCATGAGGCGTCATAACTCTCCTAAATGAAGACCTTCTGACTCCCAGGGCAGAGTTTATGTGGCTTGAATAATTTTTTCTGGTTAGTGTTTTTTTGGCGACTTAGTTTTCTACGGATGGGGTTGCTAACCCCATGCCAAACACACCTCCTTTATCTAGGCTTGGTATCTGCAGTAGCCCCGGAGGGGTTCCAGGCGGAGTTAATTGATGATTATCACTGCAACTAAATTTAGTCCATAAAAAAATGCTTTTCATACAAATTACTTGACATTTATACATAAAAGCATTTGCAAACAATCAAATTTTCAATAATTTTGATCTTGTTTTAATGTATATATCTCAATAATTGGACATTATTCGGAAGCTATTTGAGTATCATATTCATTAATTGTAAGAGTTTAGGTCGATATTAGTATTTGAGAGAACTTGAAAAAAATCATCTGCACACAAGATTTTACATAATCATTTATAGTTTAAGGAATTAGGTTTACTAGAATAAAAATAAAAAAACTGAGAAGAATGTGCATAGATATAGAATCAAAGATTCAGTTATTCAAGATTCTAACTGCAGTGACTCTTGATAGAGCCTTTTAACTATCCAAATAGTGATGAGTTAAGCACATCTGTACTAAAGAAAAGTATTTAGAAATAGATAAGATAAAAATATCGTAAATCAACTAATACAAATTACATACAATCTCACTTCATTTTGTAATTAGGTGAAATACACATATAAGTTTACATTTTTAATATTCTTAGCTATGATAGAAAGATATCAGTTGTTAGTTACCAAGTATAAACCCTGAGTAAATTAGTAATACATATGAAGATGTTATAGAATGTGTATCATCTATCAGTAGGCTGTCAGTGACCAGTTTACGATCTAAAATGGTAAAACCTCAATATCTGTCAACTTTATGCAGACATATGATTGTTTAACTAAAGTCAATTCCGAGTTAGGGTTTCAAATCAAGTATATTTCTAGGTGAAATAAACTGTGAACTGAGAAACCTTAATGTATTAACTGATCAAGATCAATTAGCACATGAAATTTAAATGACTGATTTTTTTAATTTAAGCATATGGAATGTGGATGTAAATTTGAGGACAATCAATATGAAACAAATCTGTCAGACAATATGGTGTTCCCTGAAAGCTATTTTGCCAATAACGTTATTATAAATGTGACATACTACAGTAAACGAGAACACAAATGGGGACAATCGTATGTATTTGAACACAAACTTACGAAACATCTAAGTAAAATTTGAGAACCATATAGTAAATGCTTCATTTGCAAAATGTCAATCAAATGTATCAAACTTGAATGTTCATTCTGCAAAATGTCAATCAATTGTCTCAGACTTCATTGTTCACTTATTTCCACACTGATCGTTCTCTGTTCTAATCCTCTTTCCTTCGATCTTCTTAACCTTCTGCCACCAGTTAGTTCAAAATTGATTGATGTTACTACTACTTATATCTGTCGACATCAGTAGCACACATCGACGTGGGATGTTTTATGGTGTAGGAGTTGGAAGAAAGCTAGGGGCGGCCAGACCAAAACATGGCACAAATCCATGAAGTCGCTGAAAAGTGGAGTGAGGCATGTTGTTAGACGTAGACTATCTGATTGGGATCCGAGAGACGATAGCAAACGATGGTTAGAGACTTTGAATGACAGCTCAAATTCGTTCCCAATAAGGTAGATGCACCCACTCTTTGTGTTCTCCCGAATTCTGATCTTCTGACTTTTTCGTGTCCCTTCTTTTTCGCTTTCCGAATATATTTCGCCGGATTATACTCCTTGAATAACATCTTCAAACCCTAATCTTTCTGCTTATACTCTTACTACCTCTACCGCTGTGGGATTATAATCGACAATTGTATCTCTGTGCTAATGTGTTATGGCAACTTGAACTGGTGTACTTACGTACGAAGTTCTACATAATTGACTTTCTGACACACCACAATTCCTCTGAATGAAGTTCACCAACATCTGAAATCATCTTAATTTTTATTTTTCACCGAAGAGGCTCCTGAAGAAGCAGAATTCATTGGGAATACCCCATATTCTACCCCTCACATTTGTGCTTACACTTTTACGTATGAATGATTTCATTACCATAACTATATTCAGTTAAATATTGACTAAAAGTTCAGTATGATTTAATCTAATTGTTTATGTGAATTGTGATTCGCTTTTTTGCAACAATCCAACAGGAGAAACTAATGGTTATGTTGTTTCTGTGTGTTATAAAAATCTAACACGAAAAAATCAAAGATGATACAAATTTATAATTCATATGTTTGACTTATTTAAAAGTGAGATCAGACTGTGAAGGTATTTACGGCACAAATGGAGTTTAAATTTTCTCAGTAAAGTAGTTTAAACCAGATTAAATTCGAATGATATCTGGACGCTAATACACACTTGTGGTTTTATAGATGGACTTCAACTTCCATTTACGCTTTCTTGACGATCAGCCGAGAAGCACAAATAGTCCATGACTATTGACTTCATTCCATATTGAAGTGCAGTTACACTAATCAAGATGTATAATTTGACAATCAACCAAACAAATGTGTTTATCTGAAGCTCTTATCTTAATAGGATAGATAGTCTTACATATTTGATCCAATCGAATCATTTCCAATGCATTAAAGATACACCAATCCTTCAAAAATTCTTTATATTTGAGCATTTAACAAAAAAGAGACTGACTAATTGCAATCCTATACATCAACGCGAAGAATCGAACAAATGATACATACAAATTTTAAACACAGCTTTATCAAGACTACTATACAAAGATTAGATACAAGTGTAACAATATCATAAATGTGATTACATAGCAACAAAACATTTTATTCATTAAATCGATTAAGACATTACAATTGATTACTGCGTTATGGATGTAACAAAATATTTGGACATTTTTCATATTATTTAATTTTGTTAAAGTTATTAGCGAAATCGATCCGTATTTCGACGATTTGTATCTATACAAATCTATATTCAGTGAACATTTGCGTAAGTCAGATTGTTATATTCAATAGTGAGTGGATACGAATTAAACTACTTTTCAAAAGTATGATACACTTCATATTATATTTTAAGATGTGCAAAACAATAAAATGGTTCAATTGTAAACATCAATCCAATGTAAATTCTATGTAGTATAAGAGATCAAAAGGAAATAGATAATTTTCTAAACTTTACAGCTGATTTGTAAAATATTTCATTCACTGTGAAGTTCGTTTGTTTAGTTTCCAATGTAGATTATTCAATTGATTACAATCACTAAGATTAATTATTAAAGTAACAGTTGTTTAATTTGATCATTTCTGCCACTTGCGACCACAGAATTTCATCGATGTGTGACTAAAATCACTCTAAATGTAACAGAAATGCTTCTGAGGTCTATATCAAATGAGTGTTCTTTGCAAAATCTGTGTTTAGGAGTAGTCTCGAGTAAACAAGAGAGTGCTAATATATATCCGCCACACAAAACAATGAGGATTCGAAGAGAAATAGGGAAAAAAAGCTAAGGAGCGCAAAAAAAAGAGAACAGTAACGAAGAGATTAGTGTAAGGTAGTGTGGTAGTAATAAGGGAACGAAAAGGTACAATCAGAAGAAATCTTTCAGGTAAGGGAGACACAACCACTTTTTATGAAGAAAGTAAAAGAAGTTTACAGCAGGATCGCCACTGGCTTCTATTCTGTGCCATATCTGATAACGTCTCTAGCCACTGTGTTGCATCT